GACCAGTCCGAGCTCCAATGACTGGCAGGGTTCGTCGGGGAACCCACGGGGTCGGCAAGATGAAACACATTGAGGTTGACTCGAAAACTGCCTGCTACATCTTGCAGTACTTCTGTCGTTTTTTTCTCGGGACGTCTAAGCCTGTCACTGCGAGGGCAGCAACAACCGACGCGTATGGGAGGATGTGACCGCCAAGAGGTGACCCATGCCGACTGCTGTGAATGATGGCACATGTGATGCATGTTACGCACCAACATGCTTCACAGTTTTTGCCATCACCAGTCGTTGACTGTCAGCTGTTTAGATGTGCCTGTTTTTGGTGACTAACTCGGATGTCTCTTGTCTCCTGCCGCGTTCGGAATCAGACCTGTCGTTACGGCTTACAAGTAAGTATGTGCACGGCATGCCGGGTAGCCGGGATTGGTGTGTGTAGGCCTTGAACGGAAGGTGGGCATGAAATGGAGACGTCCTTTTCAAGAGTTTCACGTTGAAAGACCGTGAGAAGAGGCCGAAACACGGCGGGAAAGCTTGGTCAATGATTTGGCTCGGCTTGGTCGTCGTCTTCATTAATGCTGTTGCTGTTTGCGCCAGGTATGGGACGTTTGTAGTCTGGTTTATTGGCTGGGGCGTGTTCAAAGCACGCCGGGGCCACCGGGCGGCACGTCCCCCCTTATCAAGTGTTAACATGCATTTTTGCATGCGCATGCTACTTACGATCGAACGTTGTGAAATTAAGGTAGACACGTAAAAATGAGTAAAATGAAAACGTGCGATGTTGTTATATGCCATGCACGAAATGCAGCCGCCTGCGCAGGTCTGAAATTATTTTTCAATGAAAAAACATCTGAAACCTCATTGGCATATCCGGCATAGTCCCCGGTTAGTTGGTTTTTGAAAATAATGAACTGGGAGTGCTCGCACAGAGGTAACAACACCTACAATGCTGCAGAGGTCCATGTCTGTCTTGGAGACATTATATATGGTCAAAACACAAAAACACTCCGATCTGCCAGAGCTTACTGACATCCAGACGGCACGTGGCCCCGTGGCGGTCACGCCCATGGGGCGGGGCGTGTATGCGTGTGTGTGAACCCCTAAAGATCCCGTCAGTTTTGAATCCACAACCACGTGATTGATATTCTATAAAGCCACGTTCCAACCATTAAATTACCGAGGGCGCAGAGTTGCTCCACAAAACCAGTTTCTCTAGACCATTTTAATTTAATCTTAAGATGTGTAATTGCTTTTCTTAAAACATGATTATTTCGTGAGGTTTTCTTCGCGAATAAGCGCTTCTCTTGGTAATTCTCGCGGTAATGTAAGCAAAAACATTGCTGATATATTTTGAAACCAATGTCGTGCGTGCCGACCCATTGCTCTTTCGCACTTTCCATTGCGCCCGTCTGTCGATGCTGGTTGGTGCTCCCATCCCAATTCCTACTTTAGAATGAGAATGTCCTGCCCTGCTCCGCCCTCCGGAACGACCGTACGCCGCTGTCCGGGCCACGCTCGCCTCGACCTCCGCCTCCGCCCTGTCGGTGGGCGGCGGCGGAGCCCGTGCAGGGAGGCAGCCGCGGGAGAGCGGCTACGATGAAATCCAACACGGCACTTCCCCGACCTGCGCCACCAAAATAAACACGTCCGGATGCGGCCCCTGCCTGCAGGAGCACGGCGGGTTACACGGAGCTCACCGTGCTCCCGGTGCAGCAGAAGTCCAGCGGTGCTGTCGGGTGGCCGGGAGGACTCTGCGCTGGCATGAGCGGTGGATGGCGGATGGGCCGAGTGCCACTGGCAAGCGGCGAGGTCACGAAAAGGCCATGGACAGGTTGGAAGCAACGCAGACAGTGAAGCATAGCGCCAAAAGAATCCTGCACGAGAATCCAGAGACACTGAACAACTGGTAAAACCGGCAGCATATACCACGCCTTTTGCCCACCATCTTCTAATATGACGGTTACTGGTTTTGATGCCGAAAGGAAAGAGGTAGCGCGCGTTGACAACACGTCATCATTAAATTTTGACGAGCCCACAACGGGTTAATCAAACTACTCACCCGACACAAGCCGTCAACTCATCATGCATCAGCTTATCGAAGCCGCTCGGGCGTGCGTCCAATCATTGTTCCGCACACGGGGCGTTAGTCCTGCCTCGATAAGCACCGGCCATGGCGGCCAAGCGGAGCATGAGAGAACTCACAGGAAGTCGGCCATTAAAGCTACCGACGTAAGGAGAGCTTAAGACGGGAATGTGCCATCTTTCACGGAAATGTTTGCGTTGCGCAAAAACAGAATGGGCAGTTTCATATAGCATGTGATTCCACCGAGCATCATGTAAAGGTCCGACTCGAATCGTCATCTAAGCCGCGACCAAGTTGGTGTGTGCCCGCTAAAAGCAAGCTATATACACCAGGCAGCAAAGCAAAACAGAACGATCCTAGACGTGAAAAATATCTGTTCAAAACATCGCTGATCTTAAGCTCATTCTCTCTCCGGCAATGGCGGTCCCTGCGCCGTCGCGGTACTCCCTGCGCGAGCCGCCTGCGGGTCACCTCCACCGCCTGTGTGAGGCGCCTGTCCGTCCCTCGCGGTACATCCCTGTTCCCTGCGCGAGCCGCCTGCGGGTCACCTCCGCCACCCGTGAGAAGCGTCTGCCCGTCCCTCGCGGTACATCCCTGTCCCCTGCGCGAGCCGCCTGCGGGTCGCCTCCGCTGCCCGTGTGAGACGTCCCCGCGTCTGCCCGTCCCTCGCGGTGCCTTCCTGTCCCCTATGCGAGCCGCCTGGGTCACCTCCGCCGCCCGTATGAGGCGTCTGCCCGTCCCTCGTGGTACATCCCTGTCCCCTGCGTGAGCCGCCAGCGGGTCACCTCCGCCCGTGTGAGACGTCCCCGCGTCCGCCCGTCCCTCGCGGATCCTGACAATATCGATCGCCCCGGGCGACGCCGACAAATGGAGAGGAGAAAAGTGACGTCATCGCCGCGCCCGACCCACCACAATCACACGTGGCGGCGACAAATTAGATAAACAGCCATTTTTCGAGTCACATTAATGAGAGGGAAAAAAACGCTGGGAGGGCCTGTGGAAATGTGCAGTAGGCACGGAGAGAGAGTGAGAGAGAAAGAGAGAGAGAGAGAGAGAGAGAGAGAGAGAGAGAGAGAGGAGAGAGAGAGAGAGAGAGAGAGAGAGAGAGAGAGAGGAGAGAGAGAGAGAGAGAGAGAGAGAGAGAGAGAGAGAGAGAGAGAGAGAGAGAGAGAGAGAGAGAGAGAGAGAGAGAGAGAGAGAGAGAGAGAGGAATGTGTTAGGGGAAGTGAGGAAAGGTCCTGAACATGACTAGCAAAACGTGCAAACGCTGTCATTCAATGCGTAGCTGAGGACGGCGATGGTGTTAGAGATGAGCGAACCCCGGCTGCCTAGACCGTATCAACAGCTCATGGCTTACAAGCATCATCCCCGACTGATGTTTGTGGCCGGAGCTTGTCCCCGACGTCAACATCGTTGCGAAGCCTGTACCGCGGACCGCTGGGACCGGACCGCCACGGACCGCCGCTGTCCGGATGTGACGCTGGCCCTCGGCTGTCCTTTCAGACCGAGCCTTCGGCTTGTATGGCGAGCAGAGCGCTGGAAGATGATAGCCAATATCTTTTTACGATGGCCATACCCAGAAACATAATTATGCGCTGGACGTGCTGTCCATCGCCTGCGCGCCGCGAGGCGTCGGTCCAAAACGACGGTGTTTTTGCGCCCGTTCTGTGCCGAGGTTATCGGCGCGAGGTCCGTGCCGAGTGATTAGACCGACCTTGTCCCGCTGAACGTCAGGTGGATCAAGAGACCCCCCCCCCCCCCCCCGCCACCTGAATCGGCACCACGGAGGACGACCGGCCGGACGTGGGATGCCCTCTTGAGTCTATCCTTGAGTTGAGATGAAATAACATAAGAAGACCTTTCTGTGAAGCCAGTCGTGGGTGGAACTTTGTGTCCCGTTGAAATTGTCCTTACACCCCTTCGTCCCACAATATTGAGCTGGCCCTTCTCAGTGACATGTACTAAAAGTACTAAAACCGCACTAAAACATGCACCAAAAGTATTAAAGTACAACCGCAGTACTAAAGCTTTGGAGAGGGGCTCGAGCGAAATCTCCAGGCCACCATTGCTCCTTTTGTGGGCTTCAGCGCCCCTCAATATTTTTTTTCACAAAGCTCTAACCCTGGACCCAGACCTTTTTAAGGAACTGTCAGTCCAGGGGCCCAGTCTGTGCTGTATCGTATCCAGGCCGACAGCCAGCACGTGATGTACCCATTAAGCTCCACCACACAATTACGCGGTGTAGAGAGATTTTAATGGAACGTGAACAGCAGTTACTTAGAACGCGTGCATTTAACTTGTTTGGATGGCTTGGGATGTTTTCATCGGCATTCCAACGCCACCCGTGTTACGTTTGGAACTCTTTGCTATGCGAATCCAGGCTGGCAGGAAAGAGTGTCGTTAAACTGACACAAACAAGCTGTTTTTGTCGGCGCGTTATTGGATTTCCGCAAAGCTTTAGGCTTCTTTGGGCCTTGGGCACTATTTTAACTTCGTTACCCGGCGAGTGGCATATTTCAAATGGGGAAGTACATTAAAGTTACGAGTGCAAGTAGCCTCATGACACATTGAGAGGTAAAACGCATACGCATAAACAAATTTAATATGGTTGCTTAATGGAGCCAAGTCCAGTGTTTCGGAATGCGCTAGGGTAAATGACGTTATTTTGTTATTTTCGTGACCCGAACTAGAGCAACTGGATGGACTAGGTTGTTCATAGTCCGATGTGACAAGTGCAAAAAGTTTGGCACGCTTATCATCGTTGATTTCGCTTCATGGTGTAGTCAGAAACGAGGCGTATGTATTCACAATTTTATTCAGATTGCAACTGTCTTTCATCTATTTCATTCCCAATATTTGGCAAACCACCCGGTCATACTGGGAGAACGGTGCCAAGGGCAAATCCAAAAAGGGGGAGGCGAGTACTTGGGCATTGACCCCTTCAAGATGGCCCAGGTCGCATAAGAATACTAATTTCTTGGCTGAAAAAAGTTTCTAAGCACCTTTTGTAGCTTTCTAATTTGGAGCACTGTTTGAGGTAAACGGAAGCAAAGTCTGAAGAATCCTTGAAAATCACAGCTCCTTTAAGGCTTTACCCAAGCCGGTGCCCCCCCCCCCCCCCCGCCACACACACACAAAGGCATTCTGGATCCGCTGCTACGAGAGGCGCGGACTTGTTGGCCACCGATGCCTATCTGGTCTCCACCAGTCTATAAGCCCCATCCTGCAATGGCTCATCAATTCAAACAACCACTTAACCGGATGCAAATTGGTCCAACATTAAATTCCTCAGTGGCACGAGATTAAGCG